GTTTATAGTTCACTCAACAAAATTTCAGTAAAAAATGCGAAGCGACGCCGTTCATCTTTGTCTATTTGGCGGCCGATTTCCAGTCCATCGTGCAACTCAAATGCATAAAAAAGATTGGTTCTTACGGCTTTAAAATTTTATTTATGCTTTTTAAGTACAAAATGATAGAAAATAATTGTTTTGACATTGTTTTGGCCGTGTTGCCATAGCGACTTAATTCGGTACTCCTACGGAGTACAATTAACGCTATAATTGTACTCCTCTCGACCAATCAGAGTCGAGTAATTTTGTTGAGTGTACTATAAGCAGAATAATGGGCTTATACACCGTTCTCATAATGGCTGACAGTGCACGAAAACGAGGTCACCCGTTAATTAGTTCACAATCAAAGATATAAAAGTACATGAAATGCGTTCATAGAAGAAAAGTATATTCACCTTTTGTTTTGACCTGAATTCACACTATCCACCTTTATTTTGAATGAGCAGCCTTGCAAGATGACTGGTGACCTCGTTTTCGTGCGCTCGTCGACCATTTTGAAAAGGGTGTATAATCAGGGGGCTTCTAAGTAGGCGTAGCTCAGTTGGTTAATTCTTGGCCTTCAAAGCTAGAGGTACACGGTTCAATCCTCAGGAACTCCACGTCTGTTTCGATTTCTCTCTGTTCTGTGTAGCTTTAGCTTTAACCATAATAAGGAGCACTGATAGACTGAGGGGGCAAAGTGCGCACCTTCAAGCGCTTTAAACATGACCGTCTGGCTAGATCCTTTTCGAGTTCTAAATTACCGCTGTGTTTCTTGATTACAGACTCATTTTGTGAAGAATATTCACGTTTTCTAGTCAAGGTCCGTCAAGTTTCAAAGTGTTCGTATTGTTGAACTCGTGCATTCTTTACTTTACCGTTGGTATTTGCGAGTAATTAGACACTGATTCGAGGCTAAGCCTGAGCAAATGAGTCTGTAATCAAGAAACACAGCGGTAATTTGGAACTCGAAAAGGGTCTAAAAAGGAAGTAAAATAAATCCCCTTTACCTTAACTGAGTATGCATTCTTGGAGTTTGTCTCCCTAGTCAACATTAGCTTTTATTATTATTTTCAGAAAAACTAAAAGCAGAAGAAAAGGGAATTTCTTCGCAAGAACTACAACAAATCTTATCTTTACCAACATGTGACATTTCGTTACCTCAGAAGTGAGTTTTTGTTCTAGTTTTCAGGCATTTATCGAAGGTCAAACCGGTATTGTACTGTCTAACAACAATAAGCCTTTTCATAGTTTAAGAATCGATTCCACTGCGCATGCGATTTTATCCCGAATTTCTCACCTTCTTTTGTCTAAACCTTCTTTTGTTCTTAATTAATCAAAAGAAGGAGAGAAATTCGGGATAAAATCGCATGCGCAGTGGAATTGATTCTTAAACTATGAAAAGGCTTATAATGACGACAACACGTGTTCTAAAAGGGGAAACATTATTTCCGGCTTAAATGGGTCTATTTGTGAGACCATGTTGTCATGGAAACGCTTTAATTGACGTTCACCAAACCATTTTGACGTGAGAACAATCCCGCTCATGTTACTGTCGAAAACGATTGAATTTCTTCATGTAATTTATGTTGTCTTTTAATGTTGGTCACTTACAGGAAAAGTTTACATCTCACAAAGAAGATAGAGATCGATTTGTCATCCACCATTGAACATAACCTGCAGTCAGGTCAGCAAAACCGTCTATTGTAGTGGAATTCTCCAAAAAAAGCTAAGCAACATACATGCAGAGGCTCCTGTGTGCAATAGTTCACTTCACAGATCCTTTCGCCATCGGTACCCATGCCTTTGCATCGAAGTGAGACGAACGGTGAGCATGCAATGATAGAGACATGTGAATAATTGTCCAAGGTGTTAAAAACAGGTCTCTATCATTGCAAGGTCACTGTTCGTTTCGTGCAAAGGCACGGCTATCTTTCAAGATGGCGCAGGGAACTGTGAAAGGGACTATTTCAATCAACTGATAAAGTCTTTGAATCTCACTGTCTGCTCCAAAAGGTGGTCGTACACTGACAGAAAGAATTATAGTGAAAAGTCGAGGTTCATTAGATGACCATTCGGCACGAGACAGAAAATGACGTCAAGTAAAATCAACCATATTGAGAAGAGTTGGAATTACTGAAAGGCTGAATACTGTATAAAACTAGGCTTGATACCCTTGTGTCACAAGTATGTACCACTTTTAGAGCCACAAAAAATAATGAAAGTACAATGAACTTACTGCTAAAGCTACCTCCCTATCACCAGGGTCACCTTACCTCTTTTGTATAAAGCCTCTTGCGGGTTCATTGCAATATTGGGATTTTGCACTTCCCTTGCAGATTTGAATGTTCCACCTAGTAAATGGCCTGAAAGATTATGGTTGATGCAGAATGACCCAGCAGAATTGTGAGTTTACACTTGGCTCAAATCTAAATGCCGCAATTATTATTTTAACGACAAACTAGAGTGATTTTCATATGATCGTGAAAGAATAGGCAAACTAATAGTTAGTAGTAGACTCTAAACCAATGATTTTCTTTTGTTCTTTATCAACTATTACAAACTAAATGGTCTATTTTCTTTCACGGTCATGTGAAAATCATTCTAGTGGACTATTGGTAGCCCTCTAGTAGTAAAGGAAAAAAGTCTTTGAAAACGTGTTTGTTGTTGTTTTGTTCGTTTGTCTGAATAACTCTATCAAGGGCGGATCCAGGGGGGCAAAGGGGGGCTGAAGCCTCCCCTCAGCAGAAAAACAAAAAACAAAAATGAAGAATTAGATGCTTTTTTTATTGTTTTTCCGTTGTGTCGACGGAAGAAACTCGATTAGCCCCCCCTAAACTCAATTAGCCCCCCCCCTAAAATTTTGGCTGGATCCGCCCTTGTCTATAATTAGGCCGTTTTAGGAGATTTTTATTTTTTTAATTTTGCCTTTTTTGGTCAACTGTTAGACATTTTCACAGCAGACCAAATATTTCATTAACATCATGATCGATATGTTTGTGTGTCAGGGCTGCAAGAGAAGCGAAGAAAAAAGCACCAATACCAATAGAAGAAGGTATCACCGAACTTATGTCCTATGACTGACATCCGTGAAAAACACTCTGCGCATGCTCGTTAGTTCGGCGGGAAATTTGTACAAGCGTCGTGTTTACAAATAAAACCATTTGAGATTTACCAGAGTTTGACGGGGAAAGTGGACGAGCACGCGCGTTTTTTGGCGCGAAAATTCCCTTTATCCATAAAGTCCATTTAGTCGCTCAGAGGTTTTTTGTTATACCGACGTAAAAATATATATAGAATTTCTCAAACAGCTCGACCTTTTTTGTCAAATGTCGTTTTGTTTTGTAAAATGGAAAACTGCAGTTTGGGTACTTGGAGTTCTTTTAGATACTTATTTTTACCGCGCCCGTTCGAGTTATTTCGTACTGACCTTCTGCTTTGCCGCTTTTTGTATCCAGTTTTATCCATGGACGTGAAAGATATTTTGAAAAGATTTCATTCTGATGGTAGACCGGTCAGAGAAAACCTTTCTCCTCTACGATCCGCTGTGAGTACCGAAGAAGACGTTTTTTAATGCTTTAATGCCTTTTCTCATTTAGTAAATACCGCTGTGTTCCTTGACTACTGTGGTGCTTACCATTTACCTGGAAAAACTGGAAATTCCGGTTAGAAAGCAAATGGTATGTGTCATTCCGATTGGAAAGTTCCGGAAAACTCTGTCTTAGGATTGAGAAAATCCACTTTTCTCGCTCTTTTCGGTTCGTGCGGTAGACGCGTGTACCATTTTGGGAAGAAAAATTTTCCCGCTCTTTTTTCACCATAAGCAAACGAATTTCCAACCGGATGGATTGGTTGAAATTATAAGCACCCCAGACTATTTATATAGGTTTAACCTCGCTTAAGAGCAAATTATTTGCAAAAGTCAACTGAAATGTAAAGAATTTGCAAGTTGAACCATGCCAATAGTTTTGAAATACCACGGACTTCTAATGGTATGTGAATAGCTGAGTTATAAACGAAGTTAAACCTGCATGAGTGAGTCTCGTGTGGTCGTGCATCAAAAACAGCAGAACTCTTAATTTGAAATTCATTCTAAATAAAGTGCAAACCATATATCCGAAATAGCACAAAAGCTAATCACTAAACACATATATTACTTTTGCTTTCAGTTGTTTCATTGGTGTTATTTTGTACTCATTAGTTTGTACTATTTCACGCATATTTGGTTTACACTCTAACATGCCATGAATGAAATGCCTATTAAACTATATATTTAAAACTTTTTTCAGTATAAAACCGACGCTGAAAGTCATATTCTAATCAACACGACTGAAGGTTGGTAACTAGATCCCAGCGGCGGATCTAGGGGTGGGTTTTGGGGGTTGCAACCCCCCTATGAGAGCCATCGTGATTTATTATTATTATTTATTTTTTTTCATGACAACACCAACAGCATCGCGAGTTTTATTAAAACAGGGGTGCCGAACACATTTCGCTCGCTTTTTTTTCTATACGCCGTGTGTGGGACCTGAAACAACCATGCTCGCCTGCAGCAAATAATCATTATCACAAGACCTACTTCCGTTTGGGAACCCTGTGCTACTTTCCCGCCAAACAAGTACCTCAATCAATGCTACAACCCCCCCTTTGAAAAAATCCTGGATCCGCCCCTGGATCCCCAACATCGTGTCATTCCCTAGAGTATCATTTCTTCGTTTAACGGTTACTTATGAGAAGATGTATGAATATGTATAAAACTTGAACAAAAAATATTATTTTCAAGGGAATGACACGTTGTCTGAAATGGGAAACCATAGCGCCCAAGGTATAAAGGTCCATTGTAAATTTAGAATCTTAACTTTCCAGAAAGCATACGACGAGCTGGTTATCCTGAAGCGTTGACGAAAAAATACCACGGAGTTGAGTAAGTGTCAAAAAACAATAGTTACTAATAGTTAACAATAGTTACTAAACTGCTCATGGTATATGCAGGAAATTGCGCAATTTATTCTGTAAGTATGAAAGATCAACATAAACCATTTTCTGTATTTCCTTCCTTCCTTCCTTCCTTCCTTCCTTCCTTCCTTCCTTCCTTCCTTTCTTTAATTAAGCCAGTCAGTCATTCAACCACTCACTTACTTGGTCGGCTGGTCAGTCAGTCAATATGTCAGTCTGATGAGCAGATTTTTATGGATGTAAAAAAAGGATGTAACGTCGTGGTACCGTATCCAAGTAGTCAAAGGATTCCAACATTGCAAGTTATGATAACATCTTGCCTCATTTTAATGTCAATAAGCAACCGTCTTCAAGAGATATAAGTATGATGTATGATGATAATGTATAGTATCACTTTCGCTATCAGTCAATGAGCAACAGTCTTCCTAGTCTCCCTCGCAGCCGCTATCAGTGTCGTAACGCAACGCTTTGAAAGCGTTGAGTGATGACACTGATAGCGAGTGCGATGGAGACTATAGTCTTCCTCGATCTTCAGGAGATATACATTTGTTGTTCGATAATAATTCATAGAATCCCTTTCTTTATCAGATATTGCTTGGATTCTCGTGACGCTTTATCCAAAGACATCCAAATAGCTGGTACCCAGACCTCCATTCTAAAACAAGAGACTCTGTCATCTTACGCCGCGCTGAACTCCAAGAGACTGGAGACAATACCTAGGAATTTCCAACGAGTTACTCGATCAAAAGATAGGGATCGATCAATAGAAGCGGCAACTGATGTTAAGAAGAACACACAAAAAAGGTAAATAATAAGTATGCTAGAAATGCACCGTAACATAAGTCTGTGTTAGGAAACACGTAGCCCAAGCTGCCCTTTGAACATTTTTATTTATTTAGTCAACACAGAATAAACGCAATATAGCCAATAAGGAACCGGACAGCAACATGCTAGTTTGCTCTATCTTGTTATAGTTATGCCCTTTGTAAATAAGTTTAATTAATAGACACAGGTGACCCATGCATCCGGGCTAAAGGATAGCGGAATGCTAGTTTGCTCTATCTGCTTGTGGTTATGCCATTCGTAAATACGTATACTTAATAGACACAGGTAACCCATGCATCCGGGCTAAGGATAGCAACATACTAGTTTGCTCTATCTGCTTGTAGTTATGCCCTTTGTAAATATGTATAATTAACAGACACAGGTAACCCATGCATCCGGGCTTAGGATAGCAACATACTAGTTTGCTCTATCTGCTTGTAGTTATGCCCTTTGTAAATAAGTATAATTAATAGGCACAGGTAACCCATGCATCCGGGCTAAGGATAGCAACATACTAGTTTGCTCTATCTGCTTGTAGTTATGCCCTTTGTAAATATTTATAATTAATAGACACAGGTAACCCATGCATCCGGGCTAAGGATAGCAACATACTAGTTTGCTCTATCTGCTTGTAGTTATGCCCTTTGTAAATATGTATAATTAACAGACACAGGTAACCCATGCATCTGGGCTAGGGATAGCGGAATGCTAGTTTTCTTCACATCTTTCTAGAATGATTGTTGTAACGAATTGTTAGACACAGGTAACCCACGCATTTGGGTTTAGAATACGCATATGACTGTTTTTAATGTTTGAATGTTTTGCTCTGAAGACCAAAGAAAAGAACGTCACCGTCGGCAAAAGACGGCACAACACGACATTCAACGAAACGAAAACGATCTGAATCACCAAAACAACAAGGTAAAAAATACTCTTTAAAATTAATGAAAATTTTAAAAAATTAAAAATTTTAGGACAAGCTACAAAATAAAAACCAAAATAAGGTCTATTTCATGACAAGTTAAAATCTATTTTCTTGCTTCGTTTGTTTGTTCACTTGTATTTTATTTACTCGAGGTCCAGTAGAAGAAAAAGTCGGTCCTACTAAAACGAAGGAGTCCAGAAGCCAGCGGCATAAACGAGTAAGTGCAACAGGTCTACTTACTATTGTTATATTTTTCATATGCTTCATTTGTTAGTGAACAGCAGAAGCAAAAAGATGGTTTAAAATAATTGGTGACTGGACTGACGGATGGATGGGTGAAGAGATAGAGGGGAGGGATAGCTAGGAAGCGTTGAACAATAGATTAATGGGAATGGACAAGAGAAAATGAACTAAGAGAAAAAATCTCTGTTATTCATGCTTGTAACCATTATAGGCACCACCGTTTGATGCTATTTTTAGAATCACATTTGCTTATCGTTTGTTTTTCTGCACGCGCATTCTACAAGCGCTCTACGCTGTTTGCTCACGTCTTCTTGAAAGGAAAAAATATGCACGTGCAGATAAACAAGCGATTAATTCGAAGATTTAAGTTTAATTTGAAGATTCTAAATATAGCATCAATGATTCTAAGAATAGCATCAACGAGTGCTCATGATGGGGTGAGCGGGGATCCCTTCTCTCAATTTATTTTCTCGGCGTTGAATGGATGTATAGCTGGATAGATCCATTCGCCTTTTCCAAGTTTAAAGTAGGACTTGATTGTAGGACAGTATTTGGTACCCCATCTTGCAATACACGTTCAGTCTCTCAATCCTCTGCACCAAGAGGTTATATTATACTGAATTTCGAAAAGGCGGATTTTGGTGGTTGAATATTTCAACGTTTGTTTTTGTTATGTTAGCGTCTTCGTCTCGTCATCGAGAAAACACTAATCGAGCGAGGGATTGACAAGAACAACGATCTGTACTCATCGTGTTCAGAGAGACTGTACAGTCTGATCAAAAGCTTTTTGAAGGTAAGACCTCATAATATAATGGGTAGCATTGGTAACGCGTCGTCTTTCACTGCTGTGAATCCAAGGGGTCGGGTCGCTGGTTCGAGCCCTGTGGTTGCCACATGTGAATTGAGTTTGTTTGATGTGTTGTTCTTTCCTATGCTACAAGGGTTTTCTCCGGGTTCTCCGGTTTCCTCCCTCCGTAAAAATCAACATGTGAGATGAGCGTAGTGTGCGTAGAATATTGAATGAAGCGGTAGTGTGTGTGAGTGAAAAGTGTCCCCAATTAGTGTGAAAGCGCTAGAACGACTAGACACTTAAATAAAGATTCTTTTAATAAAGTGGTGTTCGTATGAATGAGAAACGTACGGAGGACTTACGCCCTGAACTTAAGTATGGTTGCAGATATTCCGCTCCTCTAGGCCACTTCCGAGTTTGATAAACACGATGCATTGTGGTCTAGCTTGGGTACAAACAACACCATATAAGGCATGATGAACAACAGATGTTTGTGCCCAAACTAGGCCACAATGCACCATGTTCGCCATCTAAGAAAATTGGTCCCCTTTCCAATTTTCAAATTTGCAGTTTCGCGTTCTCTGTTGCTCAGGGTTAGCCTTAATTTTGTGCAGAATATTCACGTGTTCCAGTGAAGGTCCATGGAATTTCAAAGTGTTTGTATTGTTGAAGTTGTGCATTCTTTACTTTCCTGTTGCCCTGCCCTGCAGAGGCTTTGCCCCATCATGTGATGGCAGCCATGACAGGATGCAGGAACAATGAATCTGGTCTAATCTGATTTACATGATAAAGGATTCAGTTTACCTGGGGGAATAGACTGTAGGAGCAGGCGTAGCTCAGTTGGTTAGTGCGCGACCTTCAGAGCTAGAGGTCCACGGTTCGATCCTTAGGTACTCCACGTCTGTTTCGACTTCTCTCTAATCCGTGTAGCTTCAGCTTTAAATACTCTTAAAACAGAGCACTGATGGAGAGAGGGGGTAAAGTGCGCACCGTCGGCTTCCATTGATAGCAGTTGAATTTCAACTGAAGGAACTACCGACGTTAAATATAGGTGCTTTACTTTTTTACTCTATTGTTATGCCTTCTGTCATGGCTGCCATCACGTGATGGTGCAAACCTTCTATCGCATAACATTAGATTTTCCGATGTTACCCCCTTCAGTACCCTGTAAGAAACGTTTTGTCCACTTTCGCAGGACTTGACGTCTTCACATGGACTGAACGACACGATGAAAGATCTCGCTCGAAGTAACGTAGACCAGGTAATTTACAACCGTTTGACCTCTACCTTGGGCGTAGTGTTTTTCTATTTAAGACCACTTGTCATTCCCTTGAGAAAACGATTCTTGTTTGATTCAGATCCATATTCATGTGTCTTCACATGCTCCAGCGTTAAACAAAGAATTTATATTCTAGGGAATGACACCTGGCCCTAATGCGAAAACGTTACGCTTAAAGTGCCTATCACCCTTCTGACAATATTCATAGTATTGATTCTACATGGGGTAAGATGTGGAATAACCCGAAAAAATTTCTTAGTTTGAGTGCAGCTTCTTGAAGTTATGAAGGTTTTTCCATGCCATATGCTAATGCCGTGACGTATGAGGAGGCATTTATGGTTATTTGTTGTTCCTTGTAATTCGAAACACCGGCTTCTATGTGAAAAATAGCTTGCAATAATTTCTATAAGAGCAATGGGCAAAACAATTTCAAATTTAATTTATCTGTGCCAGTAAGGTTTTGTATATTAAATGATTACTCCTCATACGTCACAACATTAGCATATGGCATGGAAAAACCTTTATAACTTCAAGAAGCCTCACTCAAACTATGAAATTTTTTCGGGCTTTTCCACATCTTACCCCATGTAGAATCAATACTGTGAATATTGTCAGAAGGGTGATAGGCACTTTAAGGTAAAGGTGTCTATTTACATCTTTACCTTAGGTGTAATGTTTCCATTTCTGTCCACGTGTCATTCTCTTGAGAATAAAAATTCTTTGCTTGAGTTGTATCTATACATATATCTTCTCACTCGCAATCATTAACGAAACAAATGATACCCTAAGGAATGACACGTGGCCTGAATTTTAAAATCAATACGCCCAAGCAAAAAGGCCTATTCGGAAAGGCGTTTAACATATCTATTTGTTAAGAGGAAATTTTTTTTTCAATAACGAGCAATAATGGCAAAAAGCGCCAAAAACTAGACCTTCGTATGAGTTTTGATCCCAATTTTCGTTTTGGGTTAACACTCAAAACCTTTTTTTAACAGTTAGAAACTGATGTACTATGACAAAATGCCTGTTTGAAGCGGTATTTCAATTGTACAAAGATGTTTTGTTACATGTGTGTTAGAATGTTGCTTTGTCAGGCTTCTTTATAGAAAATATATGGGAAATAAGCAAATGAAGGCCTAAACCTCATTTTCGATTCAAACTTTTGCTTTGAGTTAACACTTTGATTCCACTTTCATCGGTCATCTCCACTTCCAAACAAGTTAACTTTCTGAATAACAAGATTTTAGCCTTGTACAATAGCCTTTCTTCAAGAAAATAGTTTTTGGCGCTCACCGCTTGAATACGAAAAGAATTCTCTCTCAATATATTATATTCGTTATTTGACTCTTTCTTTCTTTATTTTAGGTGATAAATTTTGAAAAAACTCGTCTGAGCGTGAAATAACACAAGAAGAAAAGAATAATTGACTGCATTTCCAGTTATTTCTAATCCAGGACACGGACAGACGAAGAAAAAAAACACGAAGGACATTCATACGACAGGGCGTTTTTATCAAACCTTGAAACATCTTGGCTGATATGCAGGCAGAGCATGGCGAACTTACAGATCTAATGAGAACAAGCTAAGCTGAATTCACTCTCTAGGTTGCCTGACTTTGATCAGCCCAGAGGTTGTTTCAGGGTTTGATCTGTGAGTTAGCCATGCCCTGACTTAGATCAGCCCAGAGGTTGTTTCAGGGTTTAATCTGGGAGTTAGCCATGCCCTGACATAGATCAGCCCAGAGGTTGTTTCAGGGTTTAATCTGTGAGTTAGCCATGCCCTTACTTAGATCAGCCCAGAGGTTGTTTCAGGGTTTAATCTGAGAGTCGAGTTAGCCGTTCCCTGACTTCGATCAGCCCAGAGGTTGTTTCAGGGTTTAATCTGTGAGTTAGCTGTGCCCTGACTTCGATCAGCCCAGAGGTTGTTTCAGGGTTT